TCTTCCTATTGAAAAGTTTACGTAGTGGATGTTTACTATGGAAGTGTTTATCAATTAATCTCAGAAAAAAACTTCCTATATTAATGTTAGAGAACCTGAAATATGGTGGGTTAAATCATATTACCTTCCTCTTTCTGTTTTTAGTTCTATTATTATTCTGATTTACTAGTTCTCCATTAAAGTTTAATTCTTGTCTAAAACAAAAGTCAAAGACAATAGCACCTTATCATCTATAATTAGACCCTTGAAATAGCTACAAAAATTGAAATATCTTCCAACCTGAAAATTCAACTTTTTGGAAAAAATATGGAGTTGTTGACAGAATGGGCAAATTTAATATGAAAGATGCATACATTTTTTTCAAAGATCATAAGCCGAACTTTAGGAATACCTTGCAGTCCCGTGTAATTAATCCCTTCAAATCTGAGTTGGGATTAATCTCCAAGAGTATTATCAAGAAAATAACATCATGTGTCCTGGGTAAATATCTGATCAGGCCCTTGGAAAGACTCGGTTTTGAGACGATTAAATGGCTCAGAAAGATCCCTAAAAACAAAAGAAGAAGCCACTTTCACCCAATTTGACATCTTGTTTTTTACTACCTACTATTTCGGAGGAACTATTAATTAAAGCCTTAATTTCTCTAAAGGATATACCAAAATAACGGATAATGATCTGGACATTAGCGTCGAGCTTAGCGTCAAAAATCAATAGGTTACATACAATGACTAAATCTTGGGTGAAGATTAATGAAAATTTCGATGTATCTATGGGAGCTTGAGATTCTGCCTAAATTGAAGATTTATAAGGCATATATATTCTAGACACCTTGTATAGATTTAAAAGAAAAGCCTTAACCAAGTCGGAATTTATAGAGATGACGGCTTAATCATTGTCCCTAATAGCAATAGTCCGTTGACTTCTGCTAACATAAGAAGATAATTAGACGGTTGGAAACCTTTAGGCCTTAAAATTGAAATATCTTCCAACCTGAAAATAGTCAACTTTTTGGATATTACACTCAACCTATCGAATGATACTTTTAAACCCTTCCATAAAGTTGATTCAAAATACCCTATACATCAACGTATTCTTCTTAACCACCTTCTAAACCTGTGATAGATCACATCCCCAAAACGTGGGAATACGAGAATAAATATTTTAGCCAAAAAATCTTTGATTTTTTAATAAATTGATATACAATCAGGCCCTCAAAAATAGTGGTTTTAGACAAGTATTAAACTTTAATGGAGAACTTGTAAATCAGAATAATAACAGAACTAAAAACAGAAAGAGGAAGGTAATATGATTTAACCCACCATTTTGCAGGCTTAGTTTGGTAGAGTACCTAAGACTTACTATAATAAGTATATATAAGTATAATAATTATATAAACAGTAGTATTAAAAAGAACAAAATACACAAGTGAAAAAAAATTAATAAAAATTATACGTCGAGTTTAACTTTAAAAATTAGGAGGTTAAATCCAATAACTTAAATCTATAAAGCAGAAGTAAGAGATATTAATGACGAAAATAAAACGTACATAGTATGTACTAAATGTACTTTCAAAATTAGATAGTACAATCATAGGTTGTCATTTAAGCTAGTAAGTCTTAGGTACTCTACCAAACTAAGCATGTATAGAATTTAAAAGAAAAAAAAACAACCGGGATCCGATTGTAAGTTGGTATATTAAAAAAAAAGGCGAAGCCTTATAACATGCACAATAATATTTGCTACCTCTGCTAACTGGAAATATTTGCAATAATGACATTTCCGGTTCCGGAGAACCTTTTGAACAAGAAATCCGCAATAAGAACGGAATGTAAAACTGTAAAAAAAAATGGAATAAACGATTTTGTTTTTGAAAAGTTGACTCTGTTTTTATTTGAAGGTCATTGTCGACCAAGGATGAATTTAAGTAAAAGCATTAATGTAAACAACGTGGAAATGAATCGGATTTGGAAATCGACAAACAAACAAAAAAATGCTGATTTGAAATGCTTTTTTAAAAACACAAACTTGTTGACGAAAAAATTATTATCGATAAAACGGCCGATGTTCGAGAAATGTGGAAAGAAAGTGTATTGTTTTGAAATACCAAACACTTTGTTTACGGTCAATGTCATGTCTCCTGTGTTGGAGAAAATAATTAATTGAGTAATACATAATGAGCTTTTAGGGGTAGTAAAAGTTGGGCGAGATGCATATAAACCGAAGGATCGGTTGAAGCCGGCAGTAGGAGCTGCCGTTGAAAAAGGCTGAGACGAACCAACAGCGAACGAGGAAGCGAACGTGACCTGCCGCCGTGGTTGCCCGACCTAACAACACGCGTGAATGTTTAAGTTTTAGACGCAAGAGTTACAGTGTACCGATATAGAGTAAAAACGAATATATGAACCAGTTAAAAATTAACTCAGAGGCCCTCTTCGTTATTTGATATTTATACTTTCATCGCCGAAAACGTTCTTGTTCTTTCTTACAGCACGTTTACGCCAAGTCGATCCAACGCTTGAGTACCGACGAAACTTCGATTTTCACTGCAGTGTGATCAAAGAACACAACGTGGGCGAAGCAACTGAAGGAACGAAACGATCAACAGTTAACCATCAGTTGATCGGCGCCAGGACTGATCAGCGTGGGGATAACCCCAGATCGAACCGGGCCGTCTGTATTATACTGGAGTAATAAGGAGCCTCACACATTTCACGTGCGATTTCATTTTCAGCTCTTTTTTACTGCTCATTGGACTGTCATAAGCTGAAACTCCTCTCTCACTGGGCAAAGGCCTTATGGATTGAGTTGGATCTTTTCTAATTGATCTCTTTAGCTCTAAGTTGAAATGATGATCCCCCTTCCTGTTGTAACCTCCTGATTCAGTTTTCTTCTTTACTGTTCCCTCTTTTTTAAACTTATTTACCTTTCTCTGGTTGGTTCTCGAATGGATATGTAAAAGAGATTATGAATGTTTATACGATTACTGAGGGCCTGAATGATTTTTCGACTGACCATATATATATATATATATATATATATATATATAATATATATATATATATATAAATGAAGAAATATAGTTTTAAGGTGTGCTATATTTATGGAGATAGAGCGTATATAAATATAAATATAAAAGTGAACATTGAAGTTATCACTTAGAGTCGACAGGCTGTTTCATGCTAGATTCAATCGTTATATATATATATATATATATATATATATATATATATATATATATATACTATAAGTGAATTCTTCAGAGCAACCCCCGTATCTAATAATTAGTTAAGTTCATGCCTTATTTAGTTTAATTAACTCTAAATAAGCTAGCTTACTGGATTTATTTAACACTTAAGAGTGTGGGGTCCAATTTGTTAGAAACGGCAATTGCTGAAAATTAAAACTCCGCCAGCCCTGAGTTTACCATTAGCCAACAATATATATATATATATATATATATATAGATAGATAGATAGATAGATAGATAATAAGGATAATTATGAAGAAAAGTTAAAAATCCGTCATCAGCAGTAAATGTATTTAGATGAATTTAGATATACCCATCTCATCAGATTTTTCATAGAATTTAGTCGTTCTGATGAGTTGAATATGCTTATATTCTTCGAAATATACTTAATACTGACTCTGGATTTTTAATATTTTTTCCTAATTTTTTTTATATAATTTGCTCTGTCTCATTCACTGAGCTCTCATATAGACTGATAAGTAATCTTTGGAATATCTACCAATTACATTTATTATAATTTTTTCTTATCGACAAAAACAATTTACTTACTACAAAGATGCAACTTCGTTTCGGCGCATTTAGTTGCACCTCGACTGATGAGAACCAAAATGGTTATGAACAATTCTGTTTGGAAGCAAGCCGCAAGTGGAACGTCACTTCCTTTTATTTATTTGTTTGAAAAAAAAGTTAAGAGGAGACGTATATATGTAAAGAAAAGATAGGAAAGGCAAAAGGGTGACAGAGTGAAACAATAATGCTTGTGATAGCAGTTTGATGAAGGATTGGTGAGATGTTATGGTGCAACTAAATGCACCGAAACGAGGTTGTATCTTTGTAGTGAGTAAATTGTTTTTGTCTATATGAAAAATTTTTATAAAAAGTAATTTTTGTTCTACTATCGGTATTGAGCCATCTTTTGAATTAATGCTGTAAACGTTAGAATTTATATATCATTTTCGTCCTCATTAAATTCGGATATATATATATATATATATATATATATATATATATATATATATATATATGTGTGTGTGTAAAAACAATAGGAAAATTGTAATAGTTGTTGACGCATTTCGTCCGATGTAGACTTTCTCGAGCCCGAAAACGAAATGAATTTATTAAACAAAGTAACTGCCACGTAATTTTCAGTTAACAGTTTGAAAATAGCGTTTTCTAAATTCTTCCGACATTTTGCTTTGTTATTATTAGTTACTTTGTTTAATAAATTTTGCCTTGAAAAAGTCCACATTGGACGAAACGCGTCGGTGACTATTACAGTTTTTCTATTGTCTTTTACGTTTATAAATATTATCTTTTTCTACAGGTTAACTCTTAGAAGAGTTTATATATATATATATATATATATATATATATATATATATGTTTTGATATTATCTATATTTTGACCTGAAGATTTCAATACATGATTTTTATTACAGGAAAAGCATTTACTTTAATCGTTCGTCTGCTGAAGTAAAAGGTCCCTAGGGCCATCCAACTTCAAAAATCTAAACAAATAGCTAAACATCAGAATTTAATTTTTGGGAAACATCGAGAAATCGAGAGTTTTTCAGCAACCCCTCGTCCATATAAACGATTATATCTGTCAGTGGACTTCAAATGCAGTTCCACTAATAAAGAAAACGTTTTGCTTTTCAGAAATCCTAATAAAAATCAGCATATCTTGCTGGACGCCATGCAAAAAGAAAAATCCCGCCACCCCCATGACAAACTCAAACTCAACCGGAAACGAATGCTTTCCTCTTCCTTTTTGCCTATTTCCTTTTCGCGCCACTACTCTTTTTCATTTATCACTTCAACTTCCGCCCACAGTAGATCCGGTCCTAATATGTGTCCGGACCGCATCCACTTCGAAGTTATTCACCATGTTCAGAATAGTGATAAGCCTGCAAACTACTTGACCGTGAGATTTGCTGCGGACAGCTCGTCTTGGCATACTAAAACTGCTCGGCTTCCATATCTTCAGGCGCACACATGTGTTTGCGTTAGTTAAAGGGTAGGCAGGCAGTTCTTGTTATTTCTTGAAGTTCTGCCTTGAAGACGTTCCATTATCCCAGCCACACTTTAATAATATCGCATTTGCTAATTTCAAGACATTCTGGCGGTCGATAAATTCTTCAAACTTATTAGAATTGAAAGAAGTTTTCATATTAAATAGTTTCATTCTTTATATTATCGGCCATTGTCTTCATCAACAAACTACTAAATAAACGATCAGAACTCATCTCAAATGGCAGACACGGAAACATTTTTCGGTACTTAAAAATCGACACCGGAGAGGAATAAATAAAAAAAGTAAAATGAAAATAAATAAGCAAAAACTAGTAAAATATATTAATCCAAATAAATAAATAAAATAAATAATAAACAAATAAAAAAAAACACTCCCGCTAAAAAATAACTGTTAGAATAGATTACCCACAATGCATTAGACTACCCACAATGCATTACTCAACTGAATATATAAATAGTCGAGAAAAACACATGTGGTCTGAAGATTACTTTTAGCATGAAACCCCCTGTCGCATCTGAGTATTGACTTCAATGTTCACTTTTATATTTACATAAGCTCTGTCTCTGATATTGAGCACTTTATCCCATACATATAGCAAACCTTCAAACTATATTTCTACATATGCTGGCTGGACTCTCCCGTCGTATTCGACATATGAGGGTCAAGCAACTCAGTTCCTGGGAACTGACAGCCTAGACCCCTGCACATATGATTTGATTATAGTAGTGAAGGCTTTTTGCAGAACCAACCACACTTTTTGAAGAGACGAATACAGAGATCTGGTGCAGCACGTGCCACAAGGTCCACTAATGACCCTCCGCAGGTTTTGAATTCAATATTGTCCTTCTCCATCAAAGGCTATAGAACCCAGTCTGTCCTACTGGAGGAGGAGGAGGAGGAGGGTAAGAAGAAGAGGATTCATTATTTTTTATATATATATATATATATATATATATATATATATATATATATATATATATATAAAAAAAGAGGCTGTAGTGATTCCAACGAGAAAAAAAGTATGTATATTAAAAAAGAAGAAGAGAGGTGCCGCAAACGTTTTGGTTGTAATGTGTTTTTAGAACACGTGTAGTAAATTTATGGAAAATGAAGCATAAAATTTTTTCTAAAAAAAACACATTACAACCAAAAACGTTGCGGCACCTCTCTTTCTTCTTTTTTTTAATATATATATATATATATATATATATATATATATATATATATATATATAATTTATTCGAAAAATATAAATTGTCAACACCATCATTTATATCAGAAGTGTTGAAACAAAATGGGAATTTCTGTAGTGATTTTATGACATTCATGATATAATTTTCAAATCAATTATATTTGCTCTACTCTATATTGAGCACTCTTTTAAGAATAGTATTTTTGGGTTATTAAAATTTATTCCGTATACATCAATCCTATATATTATATATATATATATATATATATATATATATATGTGAAAAGTGTATATAAATATAAATAAATATAAGTATGTATAATTATTTATATATTATATATGGTACTTAATTGGAAAGCGCTCAATATCAGAGATAGAGCTAACATATTTGGTTGGATAGATGTGAGTGTCTGACGATCGCTAAAGCGTGAAACCCAGGGTCACAAACTCACATCTATCCAAATATATATATATATATATATATATATATATATATATATAGAGAGAGAGAGAGAGAGAGAGAGAGAGAGAGAGATACACCTAGTGAGCCAGACAAACCTACCTAGGTTTCACCTAAACGGATCGTCAGCCAAACTTTCCCTGGCGATCCGTTTAGGTGAAACCTAGGTAGGTTTGTCTGGCTCACTAGGTGTATCTAGGTCTGCTCTACGGTTGTATTGAGCTCTTTTGTTAGTTGTTACTCGTATCGAGGTTTTTTTTCTTTGGGCTTCAGACCTGCATCTGTGCGATTTTTTGTCGGCAGAAGTTCATGTTTGTAGCTCTTTCTTTTTTAAAACCTTTTTTCCCTCGAGATTGATTTGATTAGCAAATCAAAAATTCGAAGGTTTTTCGAAACGAGTCTAGTTATCTATATTTATATATATATATATATATATATATATATATATATATATATATATATATATATATATATATATAAGCATGTATATATGAGATAAAAATATAATTTCAAGGTATGGTATATTTATTGGTAAACGTGTTCAAGATCAGGTATACAGCGTATTAAATATAAAAGTAGACATTGAAGTCACCACGTAGCGGCAACAATCTGTTTCATGCTTAAATAAAATAATATAAATTAAATAAGTCATCTAAATAGATACAAACCAATACAAACGAATATATAAGTAAAGTAATAATAACAACGAATAATAAAATAATATATAATGAAAACTATAAACAAGCAACATTATATAATAACCACAGAACTGCATCCGGATCGACAGTCATTTCTAACAATGTTTGTTTTGTGTCAGTTGTTATACTCAGCTTCTTTTTACCACGACCGAATGAATTTCAACGTAGTACTAGTTTGCCAATTAGGTCTCGTGGTTTTACTTTTGAAATAACGGAAGCAATGATAAGTTTCATTTCATATTCTATTATATTTAGTTATATCTGACGTTTTAAACACATACACGCATATATATATATATATATGTGTGTGTATGTGTGTGACATTTCAAATATAACTGAAATATATCTGTAAAAATAAAGATGAATAAATACAAAACGAAAAATATCTAATCGACTTGTTTCGTCCTCTGAGGGACTTTATCAAGGCAAAAGCAAGGATTTAATTTTATAACAAGCATTTATATACAATAAAAAAATATCTATCTATCTATCTATCTATCTATCTATCTATCTATCTATCTCATTTTGTTCATATATCTATCTATCTATCTATCTATCTATCTATCTATCTATCTATCTATCTATCTCATTCTGTTCATTATCTATCTACCTATCTATCTATCTACCTATCTATCTATCTGACCATTTCCGTCTGTTTCTATATATCTATCTACCTATCTATCTATTTGTAAACATTTCAGACAGACAATATCTATAATAAGACAATATGAATAATGACAAAACGAAAACGTATCTGAGTCGACACGTTTCGTCCTCTGAGTGACTTTGTAAGAATTTTATTTTGCAAGTATTATGAACAAAAGTACAAATGTTAGTTTTTCAAATTTTTTAAATTTAAGAAACGCACATAAATATTCATCAGGGTAACTGAAAAATCAAGCTAAACAATGGAGGCTGCTAAATGACGTTATTTGATGTCCAGCAAGCAAAAGTGAGTAAATGATTTAAAAACATAATCACAAACGAAATGAATATAAGTATTAATTGCAAAAAAACAAAAAACCCAAAACCCATTAACATACTTTTGTCTATTAGACACTAAATTTGTTCACTTAGGGTACTCCATGATTTATCCCGACTTTTCAATTAACAAGATGTGTATTAATTAGCGTTCTTTATTTTTTTTAAAAAATAAGGCTATTTTTACTTTCCTTTATAAATACTTGTTGCAGAATAAAATCCTTGCATTTGCCTTGGTAGGAGGACGAATTGAAGAGTTAAAATGAGACGTCAAATTATTATGGTAAAGAGCTGCTTGGTCGAACCTTTAAGCACTTACACAAACACACACAAACACACACACAGACACACACACACAGACACACACACACACACACACACACACATATATATATATATATATATATATATATATATATATATATATATTACGAATCAATAGATTATAACTGGGTTTAAGAGAGCATTTACGACTGAAATATTCTCCTGATAATCTAGCAGTGATTAACGATATTCTCGTTAATGCAATTCAGGCTGATGTTCGTAATCGATAACTAATCGATAATGTCGACTCAAGTTGATTAGTATTGCTTGCAGATACGAGATATCGTTGCGTATGAAACTTCCTTTCTGTCAGGCGCATTTCCGAAACAATATTGACTCAGAAACAAGCTACAGACATGATGTGTGCCGGCCAGCACTTGTGCACGTCGTCTCAGAGACACATTTACTCGCCCACACACTATTACTATCTATCTATCTATCTATCTATCTATCTATCTATCTATCTATCTATCTATCATGCTGACCCTCTCTCTCTCTCTATCTCTCTCTCTCTCTTTATATATATATATATAGTGTATTTGAGCAACAAGCCCTCTTTTATACGCGTTTTCTTCAAGACGACTGACAAAGTACTGCAATTAAGCTTTTTATTTAATTTTTCTTGCTTCGTACAAGTAAATGCTTTAATAAACTTGTACACGCGCACGTATATATATATATATATATATATATATATATATATATATATAAATTTGTCAGTGTGCTACCAGTGATGGAAAAAGGAATATATTTATAAAGCAATTGTTAAGATTTTGTGGAAATTTTTTGAAAGATTAACAAATAATTAAGAAAGAAACCAGTAAAAATCGCCATTTTTTACACGAGTTTTCACTATATGGGTGGTCTTAATTATCAACTTAAATGCTTGTTAAGCATTAATATTATTTTTGGCTACAATTGTGTGGAGTTTGTATTAGATTGCTTGAAAATTGAGGGAGTTTTTAGTTTAAAAGTTATGTTGAAATCGATTTGCGCGGTTTTTCGCTAACCGCAGTGACGTAGAAATAAAAATGAGGTATCTTTTAGCTTGTCATGATGTAAGTAACCTACATACCGAATTTGAACGAAATCGCAGGAAAAAAAAGTTGATTTTTGATCGGCTTTATCGATTATTGATTCTTTCAAAATTATCGATTTTTTACGCTAAGTCCCTATCTTTTACATTGTACAATGTATGTGCCAAGTTTAGTCTAAATCTTTTGGAGGGATATCGAGTGAAAAGGTATCACACACACGCATACACACACAGACATCCTCTGTTTCATATTTATATATAGATAAATCAATTGTATTATTAAACGTAAAAGTCAAAGAGGAATTGATTTTGAGGGGGGACTCGTTAATTATAAGGTGTAATCGAAGCGAAATAATACGATAATATGAAATAATACGATAATGAAAAACGACATTAATTAAATTCGAGATGGTAATCAATTTAAAGGAAATTTAAAATCCTTCCATTACCGTCGACTGATATAAACAAACACAAATTGAACAACGTATTATATAAGACAAACGTAAGGAATTTCAGGTTTCAAATTTGCTTATTTCTAATTATAAAACATTGTAAATGACTTCAATCGCTTCGTTTTTCATTATCGTTTTATTTTGTATTATCCTATTATTTCTGAATAGGTCCTGCTAATTTTACTATCGGGACATTTAATGTTAGAAGACTTGGAAAAAAAGAGAAGCAGGAATCATTGTATCAGGGACGTTGTTTGTTATAATATTGATGCATGTTGTCTCCAAGCAATCAAAATCAAAGAAGGACATATATTTAGGACGAGCAGCCCTAAGCAGTTGGTCAGTAAAAGCGTTCAATTAGAATGGAGCAAAAAACAGCATCATGTTTAGATGTAACAGAATCTATCTTCTTCAATTACTTTAAAGTACTTTCATTGAAAAACATTTTGAATTAATGCAGTTACTAATATAACAGAAATAGTCTGTATTTATTGAGTCGAATTTAGACGAGGACATGAAGGGGTAAAACAGGCAACATGAAGACCCACTTCAAACCACAATTATTTTTGGAGTTTTGGAAATTCAATTTGTCAATGTACTAGCAGGGATGCATAAAAGGTTACATTTATAAATCAATTGTTAAGTTTGATGGAAACTGGTTGAAAGATCAATGAAAAATAAGAAAGAAACCAATAAAAATCGTCATTTTTCTCTATTACGCGGGTGTTCACTATATAGGTGAAAATTATCATGTTAAATAACTGTTAAACAATCAGCTTGGTAATAATTGAGTGGAGTTTGTACTAGATTGCTTGAAAATTGAGAGAGATTAAAACATTTGTGGAAATAAATTTTTCACCCCTTTTCCAAGGGTATTAACTGTGTGAAATATTAAAAGGAAAAGAAAGAGATTATGACTCAATGTCCCTTGTGTTTCATTAACATTAATTGGTTGGATCATTTCCAGACATATATTCGTAGATTCTTTATTATATACTGGCCTCCATACCCAACTGGTCGATCAGAAAAAGCGTTCAATTAGAATGGAGCAAAAACAGCATCATGTTTAGATGTAACAGAGTTTATCTTCTTCAATTACTTTAAAGTACTTTTATTAAAAACAAACATTTTGAATTAATGTAGTTACTGATATAACAGAAGTAGTCAGTATTTATTCAAATGAAGTGAGCCGAGGATATGAAGGAGTAAAACAGGCAACATGAAGACCCACTTCAGATCACAATTATTTGGGAGTTTTTGAAATTCATTTTGTCAGTGTGCTAAAAGGGTGTAAAAGAGGATGCATTTATAAAACAATAGTTAAGTTTGATGAAAGATCAACGAAAAAGTAGAAATAATAAGAAATGATATTAATAGCTTTGGAAACTGTTGTGAGGGAGATTATTTCCCTGCAAAGACTCGGCCATCGGACGAAAGACATAAGAATACTCCTACATCAAGAGGAGTAGCAGCAGGAGCAGTAGCTTTTGCGTAAAACAGTCATTCACGGCTAAACATTCTCTTCCCTACATTATTTACATTATTCTGACTATTGTCCTCATCTTTGTCGCCATATTTATTACAACGATTCGGCCGTTATACGCTCCGGCCTTCTTCTGGTGGTTGGAATGTCGAACTGAACCCTTTATTTCGTTCACTTTCCACGTGTCATGTTTAATGGATATTAGTTATCAGTTATCTCTTGTTAATTCCCCTCACCAAGTTCTCCACTGCCTTAACCGGGTATTGAACTCACACTCTTTGGGTCCTGTCACTGGATCTAACTAACGCCTTTCTGGGTATTATAATCCTAATATTATCAGCAACCATTTTACCAGTGCTCATATTGCAGTTTCTGTTATTATCGCTTTTCTCAGGCACTCCTTATTACTGGTCCCCATATTGTATTCATTCCTATGCTTGGTCGGCTCAGGATATTTTTGTGGCTTAACATATGTGCTGATTCCTTAAGTTTACGAATTTTCCAATGGTGTTCCTTGTCTATGATATCAACCTGATTCCGGAGAGATAACCCCTTCGCATAAGGCTTCCTTATGTGAAGGTTGTTATCAGAGAAAATGCAAAGGATTTGCGGTCCATATAATATCAGGACAACCTTCAAAAGCTTGACGACGCTTCCCAAATATCTCTCCCGAGTAAGAACCCCCCATAGAGAAGAAGATGACTAAAGACTGTGTGTACGCTATCCCGTGCAGCTGCGGAAAGAAACATAAAGGGGAGAAAGGCCGCCCCCTTAAGGTAAGGTTTCAAGAACAGCAGAAAACTTTAACACGTGGTGAAGTGGAAAAATCAGGCGTGGCTGACCGCATATGGAGAGAAAAGGGAGATCACCGCCCTCTGTGGAATCAGGTTGAGATCATAAACAAAGAACACCATTGGAAAATTCGTAAACTTAAGGAATCAGCACATATGCTCTGGTAAAAACATGTAATGATAACAGCAAAAATTGCAATACGAGCACTGGTTAAAATATGTTTGCTGAAGACATTAGGTTTATAATATCCAGAAATTCATACACAGATGTCCTCAAGGACACATGGCACAGTGGATAAAAGCGTTGGTTAGGTCCAGTGACAAGACCCAAAGAGTTTGAGTTCAATACCCGGTTAAGGCAATGGAGAAGTTGGTGAGTGGAATTAACAGTGTTAACATCCATTAAACATGGCACGTGGAACTAGAACAGTCTACCTCAGTGAGCGAAATAAAGGGTTCAGTTCGACATTCTAACCAGCTGAAGAAGGCTAGAGCGTACAACGACCGAAAGGCTGTGGTAAATATAGCGACAAAGATGAAGAATAATGAATAAGAATAAAGTTCGAATAATGTAAGAATTTAATTTAAATTCAAATCGTTTCTAATGTTTATTTCAGGCGAAAACAATGATTATTTAAACTGAAAAATTGTTATTTCTATTTTCAATGTAATAAATAAAAAATAGAATGCTAATCGATCTCTAATCATCTATATAATTAAATTAAAAATTGGAAATGGTATTAGTGATTAATTGATCTTTCCACTCCAAGGTCCCATATAGACATTAGTATACCCCTTTGTTGAAACTTGACTAATGCATGGAATAATAATGCAAAACAAAATGTACTTAGAACAATATGTATTGAAACAAGAAAGTGTACACAATATTTACATATAGTCTTTTGTATATTCCTGGCAAGACCGTTCCTGGAGAATGTGTTGACTGAGTCGCAGTCGGGCAGAGTCTCTGGTTGAATCTCTTGATTCCTCCCTCTCTTCCCGGTACCAACCATATTTATATGGTCGGTACTCCACTATGCAAATTAGGTGAATCCTACCACATTTTTTATAACCTTACACTTTAAGACAAGCATAATTCGACAGATAAACAGAAATAAGTTTCTCATAAATATAGTTCCTATAAAAATTATACGTATAAAAGTATACGTGTATACGTAGAGAATCATAATAAATTTGCAATATATATATATATATATATATATATATATATATATACGTATTAAACAATGAATTAAATTTAAGGTGCAGTAACAGACCATTGTTGTCAGTTATATGCTTCCACGCAGTCGTCAGGCGGTCGGCAGCTGTAGTGCAAGAATAGGTTTTTTCATGCTCCCATGTATGACTGAGCTGGAAAAAATGGCCTGTGCGTCCATAGCATGCACACACCAGCCAAACTCACCTGGGGGGAGAAAGCAGTCATCAGGCCGAGATCAAATATAAAAAAAAAGTTAAAGTTAAAGGAGGTTCTAAGCAAAATAAATGTTTAACAGAACCTGGCCCCTAAAGTCAAACACGTTTCCATATTTCTGTTGTTTTATTCTTCGGTGGTATAAGTGTCAGTTTATTGTTTTCAGCTTGAAATTTAATTTACGGGTCTTTCAACCAATAAAATTATTGTGAAAAAAATGTTGGAATGAATACTCTACAAAACCCTTGTAAAGGCGAAAAAACATTCCATTGGAATGGCGAAACAGTTAA